AGTTACTCACATAATCACTTCCTCTTTAGTGTTTTTAGCCTACAAAACCAGAGTACGAGAAGCTTGTTTACTGTAATGCAGTATTGGAGTTGAACTGTCGCCTAGTGTTTGCTCTTGGTGGGAATTGTTGGGCTTCTGTAAACGTCAGAGTACGGTCTAGACCTGCTCTTTTATGAAAAGCGCTGTGAGATAACTGTTGTGATTTGGCGCCATATAAATAAAATTGAAAAAGAGTCTGTAGTCTGCTTGACACAGCGCTGAAAAGCCGTCAGAAAATGTGATTCCCCTAAATGTCCTCTGGAGATACTGGGGAATTGCGTCCATAGGTCAAAAAGTGTCTATAGGTTGATGGATGTGGATCGAACACTGAAACAACAGTGCAGCACATGCCTTCCTAATGGTTGAAATTATTGCGCCAATGCAAAACGTATTTGCAGACCACTGCAGTATATTACTACTACATCTTCTTCTAACGTACATATTCAACATAGTGATGAGTGTCTGCACTGCCTGAATTTTACCAGAAGTAGAACAAGGACAATGTAGTGACGAAACGCACTTTGTATTGTTGTTTGTCCATTTTCAGCTACTGTAGAAACATGACGATGCAATGTGGTGACGTCCATGGAAGGGGGTGCCTGCGGTTATGGAGATATAACTGGCTCATCCTAAAGTAATAAAAACATAAGTTTATTATGTAAGGTCTTTACACACCAACATAGTTATGGATCTTATGTTGCACTTCTATTGATAGATCCTCAGAAATATTACACACTGAACCCTTAATGTCCACATATTTTGGGCCATATAGTATGTGTCTCCCACCAGATCTCCCAATAGTTACAGTCTGCACTGACCTTTGGTCCTGGTGACCCAACCAGTCCGGTGATGCCTGGTAGTCCTGGCTCCCCCTGGTTGCACAATAAACATACTCTGAAATGCAAAGTGGAGCAGCAGCAGCCAAATGCAACAATATTACAGTAATTATCTGTCCTACATCAAGCTGTCAGTTAAGCCTGTTTAATGCATGTTGCAGACAGGTCCTGTTACTGTCAGTCACTTTCTTTCCAGGGAGACAGAAAAATGCTATCTTAAATTCATGATTATGACAAGACAGACAACTGGATGGTGAATGTTGCATTAAGAGTCTAAATAATGAACTGGTACACTCAACACCCGTGTGTCTGTGGTGGTGACAAGAGACAAAGCAGTGTTTGTAAAAGTCTTGCTGTGTTTAGCCGTCAGTGCTTTTGTGACTCGTCAGTACGATCTTGATTGTACACCAGATATCAGCTTTATTACTGTTTACTTTCATACATGCATTAATTTCCATTAAAATATTTTATGTATTAAAATATTTACGATGTGAACATATTCAGCACTTATTATTTAATTGTTAATTATAAAATGAGGAATGGTACAAGTAGAAACAGCCAGAGATGCTCACAAGTCTTTGAGCTAGAGTCCAAGTCAAGTCTCAAGTCTCGTGGTTATTACGAATGCTGATCACCTGCTGCGTTCAATCCAGGTTGCTAATAAAACTGTATAGCTATAAGGAATTCTGTAACTAACCTGCTTTGCTTTTACAGAGCACAACCATGTAATGTACAATGCAATTATTGATGGTTTATTAAATACTGTAAGTCACACTCCCCAGACTCTTAAACCCAGTGTAATGTTAAATAAAACTGACGTTGCATAATCAATAAACCTGTCTATTTTTAACTTAACAGAGCACAACAATGCAGCCTAATGTACAATGCATCTACAATTAAGACAACTTAAACTACTGTAAGTCAACAAACCCTGTTGATTTTCAAACCCAGTCTAAAGTTAACTGAATAAAACTGTAAAGTCAAACAGTCAACAATAAAGCTGGAACCCTTTTTTTAACTTACAGAGCACAATGTGCAATGCAATCAATGACAGCTTAAACTACTGTAAGTCAACACACCCTGCAGACTCTCAAACCAGTGTAATGTTCTAACTAAATAAAACTGTAAGGCTACATGATCAACAGTAAACCTGTAACCTGGCATAGACTGTATGGGTGATGGTAGCCAGCGGGATGTAATAATTACATTAATCGACTACTACAAGTTTTGAAAGTAAACAAACGCTCATTCATCTTTTCATAACGGACAGTCGAGTTAACCTCCCGAAGGTTGTAGCTAAAGCAAGCTAACGTTAGAAGGCCAACGCTGAGCTAAACATGTTTACTCACCACAGGTTACTAACCTATTTGCGTTCAGCACTTCTTTGTTTGGGTCTTGTTGTATGAAGTTTTAAAGCCAAAGTTTATGATGAATGGCTCAGCAGCTGTTGCTGTTTGTTGTTCTCACGAGCGGCCGCGTGCAGCAGATGCTACATAGGCAGGGTATAGGTAACAGCATGCTCAGACGTTTCCTAAAAAATAAACATTGTTCACGAGTCCCTCACCTCGAGTTCGAGTTGAGTCTGAAGTCTTTTGAGGACGAGTCTCAAGTCAAGTCTGAAGTCGCTGTGAGTGCGCGCGCAACTTAAGTCAAGTTTATTTATATAGCACATTTAAAAACACTAGTTGACCAAAGTGCTTTCCACAATAGACAACAAATATACATAACAGTAGAAAAAGTAAAAAATATAAATGTCACTACTCAACTCTGTTTGAAGGCCAATGAATAAAGATAGGTCTTTAGCAAGGATTTGAAAGTGTCAGGAGTTTGGGCATTTCTTATTTGAACAGGTAAAGTATTCTAGAGATTAGGAGCAGCTGAGAAGGCTCGGTCACCTTTAGTTTTTAACCTGGATCTGGGGACATCAAGGAGCATCTGATTGGATGACCTCAGTGCTTTGACCGGCGTGTGTACATGTAAAAGTTCTGATAAATAAGGTGCCAACCCATTTAAAATTTTAAAAACAAGCAATAAAATCTTAAAATCAATCCTAAAGCGGACAGGAAGCCAGTGGAGCGAGGCTAAAACAGGGGTAATGTGCTCACGCTTTTTAGTTCCTGTTAGAAGTCGGGCTGCATTCTGAATTAATTAACCGATGGAGAGATGACTGATCCACTCAAACATACAAAGAGTGACAGTAGTTGAGACGTTATAAATGCATGTATTACTCTTTCAAAGTATTTGTGTGGTAGGTAGAGCTTGATTTTGTCCAACAGTCTCAGCTGAAAGAAACTGGCTTTTACTACAGAAAAAAAAAAAAAAAAAATCCGGTTTTTCAAACTTAAAAGCACTGTCAAAGAGCACATCTAGATTCTTGGTAAATGGATGACTATGTTCCTAAAGTACCAAGAACATCTATACAAGCACTTAAATCCCCAGGTCGACTGAAAACAACCTCAGCCTTACTTTCATTCAGACATAGAAAGTTCTGATTCAACCATATTTTAAGATCTCTCAGGCAGTTGAGCAAGGACTGAGTTGCAGCTTTGTCATTAGATTTTACAGGTAAATAGATTTGTATGTCGTCTGCAAAGCAATGAAAGGAGATGTTGTGTTTTTTGAAACTTGACCCCAATGGCAGCATGTAACGTGAAAAAAGCATGGGGCCCAATATGGACCCTTGGGGGACCCCACAAGAAAGAGGGGCAGCAGATGAAGAAAATTCACCAAGGTGAACAGAGAAACTTCTATTTGCCAGATATGATTGAAACCATTTGAGGGCTGTGCCCCTAATGCCGACACACTGTTCGAGTCGGGATAAGAGAATGGAGTGGTTAACCATATCAAAGGCAGCAGTCAAATCTAAAAGCACCAAAACAGCAGAGTTTCCAGAGTCAACAGCTAAAAGGAGATCCTTAAAAACTCTTAAGGGCAGTTTCAGTATTGTGACGGGGCTTAAATCCAGACTGGAATTTTTCATAAATACTAAAATCATCTAAAAATTATTGAAGTTGATTAAAAACCACTCTAGGATTTTTTTTTTTACAAAGGGGAGCTTAGAAATAGGTCTAAATTTAGAGAGGTTTGAATTATTTGATTGTTCTTTTTTAAACGTGATTGCACAACTGCATGTTTGAAAGCAGCTGGAACACACCCTGAGCTGAGAGATGCATTAACCAAGGCAACAATGCTTGATCCAACAGTGTTAAAAACATCTTTCAAAAAGCGTGCAGGAATACTGTCAAGGGGGCAGTTTGCAGGACGTAGTTGCTTGACTACGTCAGAAAGAAGGGGGAATGTAACTGGCTCAAAATGCAGGAAGACAGCTGGGCTGACAGGGGGGACAGAGGGGTCACTGGTAAATGTAGTGGGTGAAAAGCTAAGACGGCAATTTTGTCTATAAAATATTTCAGGAAGTTTTCCACATAAAATTGTAGATGGCACAACAGTCTGATTTGCGAGGGTTAACAAGAGAGTTAAAGACATTGAAAAGAACCTCAGGCCTCTGGCTGTTATTTGCTACTACACGGGATAAAAATTTAGTTTTAGCAGATTTTACTGCTCTCTGGTATTTAGATAGTGTATCCCGCAATATTTCAAATGAGACTTGAAGTTTGTCCTTTTTCCACTTTCTATCAGCTATTCTACAGGCACATCTGAGAGAGCGAGTAGTGTCATTAGGCCAAGGCCAAGTCAAGCAACTCGAACCTGAGTCTCTAACTCGAGTCCCCATCTCTGGAAAAACAGCTGCAATGAGTCGTTTAGGTGCAGAGCTGCAAACATCAGGCTTATCACAGCACACACTGCTGTGCTATATAGGAGTTCTGTTACAGACATCCATTTCAAATGTCCATCAGAACTAACCTGTAAATTTGGAACAGTTTCTACCTAACCTGGGATTCAATATGATAGCCAATCCCAGCAAACACAGGAACTACAATAAAAAATGTCAGTGTTTTATCCTGGTTAGCACTGACTGCAAAGAGCAAAGTTTTCAATATTCGCTCACTTCCTGTTTTAAGCAAGAACTGCAACAAAGGAAAGCCCTGCAGCCCTAGAGCATTTTCCCAATAGGCCACCATTATAAAAAGATGTCTGTTAAGGTTATTGGCATCATAGTCTCACCTTGGGTCCTGGGGGTCTTGGTTCACCCGACAAGCCTGGTTCCCCCCTGTCTCCCTGGGCGGTATCAGCAGAATCAGGTACCATCATCAGTACTGGCAGCAGAGTAGAAAAGCCACAACACTTATACAGCTGCTTCTTTAACTTACCTTGTTACCTTTTAGACCAGGCTCCCCCATTGGTCCTGCTGGGCCACATTCACCCTGGCCAGTCAAGGGAAGACAGTAGGTAAGAGCACTTAATCAGCCACGTCACACTCACTCAAATTAATGAACGCTATCAAACATTTTAAGACTCCATTATGTGGCTTGTAATACATGTCTATGGAATTTTGACTTTCAGAAATGGCAAGCTAATCAAAAGGTTTAGAGCATTGTAATTTTTGCCCAAACTCCTTGGATGTTAATGTGTAATACTTTAAAAGTAATGAGAAGGATTTAAATTCAGTCCTACACTTAACAGGTAACCAGTGTAGTAAAGGTAGCACCAGGGTAACACGGGAACACACAAACAAGAGTACAGAGCAAACACTAGCAGCCAAGACCAGGAGAGAACAACCAATGGATGATTTGTTGGAACTGCTGGAATGAGAAGGGGTGTATTGCAGCTTAGCATTGATTGATGTCACGGGTTGTGGTGGTGAGGCAGAGCAGGTTGGAGGACCCAAATGCAGGACACGTAGACTTGCAGTTACAGTTCAGTGATAATTTAATATAAACACAAGGCGAGCACACTTACAAGAGCGGCTGAGTTCAGGTAATCCAAGATAACACAGTCCAAAACAAACAGAGTAATCCAATAGAAAAATCCAGAACAGGAGAAAATCCAAACAACTGACGGGGGACAAGCAAGACGAGACTGGGCAGAGTCTGTGTGGACAGAAACACCAGGAATATATACAGGGACTAATGAGCAGGGCGGGAGCAACACAGGTGACAGACATGAGACTAGCGAGACACAGGCAGGCAGAGAGACAGCAGGGAAAACAGAGAGACTAGCAGGCAGGCAGATTACTGAGGGGGGTGTAAGGGCAGAAAATTGTTTTCTTCCTACACTTATCATCTTTTATGCAAGTACTTATAAGAGTGCTATTTTTCTCCTTTTATTATGTCTTATATATTGTTCTTTAACCTGTTCCATCTTTATTATTGTTCTTCTTATTCCAATCTGTCCACATGTGTGGGGTTTAGGTCAGGGATGTGGGGTTGTTGATTGTTTTCCTCACTAGCTGTTCTTCTCCTTCCTTGACTGGTCCCAGTCAAGGACCTTTTGTTTCCCAAAACATAGATGCACAGACTGTGTAAATGATCATGCAATTGTTTGCTCTGGGCCAGACGTTAGTGACTGTCTTAGGAGACAGAACCTCTGGTCCAGCTGATTCTGCTGTAGTACTTCTCTGTTTTTTCTCTTTTGTTAAATAAATTCTTCAAAGACAACGGTTCGTTGTAACTCAATTATTTGCTCAACCTCTCACCAGGAATACAATTTCCACGACAGGGGGAAAAGACAAAACACAAGTTACTCAACACTAAACATCAGAGTAATATAAACTAGCGGACAGATCACAAATAAACTAACACCAAGAAGGAACACAGACAGAAGCTAAGGTAAAACAGAACTCAGATTTACATGGGCAAAACACAAAAGTTCACAGACCAGGAGTGAACACTAAGACAAGAACTAAGGTACAGGACTAAGAACTAAGATACGAGGCAAGACAGATACTAAGTAAGATGTGGATGAATAACAATAAAGGCTAAACAGAGACTAGAGCTGAATGAACAAAGTCAGATTAATTACTGAAACTGGCAGAGAACAAAAATAGACAAGCAGGCAGAACTCAAGCATGATGATACAGAAACTAATACATAAGACTGGAACAGAACTGAAATCAGGAAAATACCAAACCACCACTAAACACCAGCTGACAATAATATTAACCCCACAACCAGACACACAGACAGTAACAGACCAACCAGCACAAGCACACAGAGTAACTGGACACAAGAAAGAACTGAAACTCAAAACACAGACTAACTATATAACAGATACTGGGCACCGGGCACTAGACAAGACAGAACCCACAACTCAACATACAGTAAGACAGATACTAACAAGACAACAAATAACATGACTGACTGAAAACTAAATGACCAAAGCAGAACAGACAGGCCCACAGTGTGACAATTGATTGACTTGACACAGACACTTTAGTTAGGAAAACCATGTAAGTGCTATATGAGATATACCAACGCACTTCGTCTGGTACTGAAAGCTGTGCTTAAATTAAGAACAACTAAAATGCAAGCTTGCCATCATCATACTATGACATGATGCAGTTTGTGACACCATGGAGTGTAGTGCAGTAACCTTAAGGGAAAATAAACTGGTATTTATCAAATACATTTTCTTCCTAGAATTCCAAAAGTTGGTTCTAGCCTTTAGAAAATAAAATCAACTTGTAGTTCTGTAGTTGAGATCACTTGTTTTTTTCCTTATAACCTGTTTTATATGTTACAGAGTATGCTTCTTAGAGCCCTGCCAGGCTGGAGTTGACATGAGTTTAATTGACTGGATTTTGTAGTGTGTCCCTCTCTTTGGTGTAGCAGCAGTGCAACAAAATCCATGTAGAAACTGGAGCTTGCATTGGCGTAAGCCAGCGGTTCTCAAACTGGGGGGCGTAGACCTAAAGTTGCATGAATAGGATTCATGTGGTGACATAAACAAACAAAAGCACTCTGATGCTAGCAAGGCTGTTTTGCTAATCTCAATCTTGTTTATTTCTGCCATGTTGTTAATGAGTTGGGGGGTTGAACTTTTTTCAGCTTCTGAAGGGGGTTGTGACAGAAACAGTTTGATATAATGCAACAGATGTGTACCTTCATCCCTGGTAATCCAGGAGGGCCGGATTCCCCAGGTTTCCCGTCTTTACCCTGGAGACAGAGACAACATAAGCTGGTTCTTACAACATGTAAGACTGGTGACAAAATTATGAAGTGGTTAAAGGAAACAAAGTGATTTGCACTTACATGCTTCCCATCAGGTCCTGGTGGTCCTTCCCTCCCTTTCTCCCCTCTGAATCCCTGTAGCATTAAAGCATCATGACCCTTAGAAACATATTCTTTTGAGGTAGTGCGTCGGACTGCTAGATACACAGGCTTTAATACAGATTTATAGACATGGCAACAGTGCGGCTGTATGGATGGCAATGATGGTCTGTCTGAAATATCTTGGCTGTTGGATGGGTCGCCAGTCATGGTTTCCAGACAATGTATCAGAATGGCTTTGGCTGATCTCCTGACTTTTCCTTTAGCGCCACCATGAGATTGACTTTGGAAGTTTTGAGTGAAATGCTTTGACAACTATTGGATGGCCTGTCATGAGATTTGGTCCATAATGAATTTGAATAACTTTGGTGATTGCCTGATGCTTCCTCTAGCATCATCAAATTTACCAAATACTTTAGTTTATGACCAAATTTCTTCTTTTTACAATCTTTAAATATGTATTTTGTATTGTATTTATTATGTAGTGTGAAAAAAGCCAAACCAATACTACAGAAGATTAGAAGTCTACCCCCTTCAAAAAGCACTGCATGGTTAGGCAGCTCTCCAAGAAGGACACTTCAAAACCTTCCTGGTAAACAAATACTGTGACTCACTACAGCTAGAGGTCATTAGAGGTTATTAGTAGACAGTTTCTGATTTGCCTGTTGTGGTCTCTTTCCATAGCATAAAGCACTGTGGACTGTGTGTGTGTGTGTGTAAGAACCTCCAGTATAATGACATAGTGTTGATTCCAACACTTTATCTATTTGTAGAAGTTTGCTTTTGACCTCCTTAAATAATAAAAAGGTAATAATAGCTGGGGGTTAATTATGATTGATCACACACACACACACACACGCACGCACACACACACACAGTCTGTTACATCATAGTTGAGCAATGGAATGCTGTACACCAATTGTAGATTGGCGTTTAAAGGCACTGGTGTCAATACCACTAGAGGGACAAGAGACACATCATATCAAATGTGCTTTGAGTTTTGTAAGCGTGAGTGTGTGTTACCATGGGTCCTGGCAGGCCACGCTGCCCTGGTGGTCCGACCACACAGTTGCAGTCTTCTTCCACTGTGGCTGTTCGATTCAGAGGACACTGAAAACACAAACGAACTGACAACTGCGATACAAGACACACTCAGAGCTTCCTCATTATACAGAGAAGGCGTATACACACATTTAGAAAGGGTATAAAAGGTTAGGCATTTCAAAACTTCATTACATTAAGGTTTTGTTATGGTTTAAATAAAAATACCTTCTTAGCATGAGTTACGAATGTACCCAGTAATTTCCACTGTGTAATATCTGTTTATCTGTGATGTCATTACCTTTACATTACCTGAGAGGATAAATACTAAAGTCTGATTAAAAGTGTGTAAGAAACAGGGAAGAAAATGCTCTTACCCTTTCATCATCCTGCGTCACACAAGAGAGAGAGGACAATAGACAAAAGAAGAATGGTGATTATTCATGCAGCCATATACAGAAGTGGACCTCTGTGTGACCTTTGTGCTGGACATGACAGCAGATCCAGGCAACAGTACTTACCACAGAGTAGATCTCACACGCTGTTTCCCGTTCACTCTGATGAGGATCACAGTACAGACGCAGCTTCTGAATCTCCACCTGAATAAAAAAAGAGGAGGACAAATGCAAATGCAGAGTTAGTAACAAAAGCACTGTGCTGCACATCTCATCCTACAAATGGGATCCTTTGTGGTCAGCTAGCTCACGACAGTAGATAAACATGAGGTCCCTTCACTGGAAATGATCGTCCTGTTCCTTTTCTTCTACACTATTTGTTATTTGAAACTGTTTCATTCAAATAGGCTAAAATATGCTGAACTAAATGTCACACCCGCCAACAACATTGTGAGATCTGCTTAATGTTCCTCTGCTGCTGTTTGTGCATGAACCCGACACGGGATCACCTGCATGTCCCGGTTTCTAAGGTTTACTGGGACCTCTCTGTGGTGCTGGTACTCACAGGCACAGTGATGTCTGTCCCTCGCCTCTTAGCCACTTGTGTCTCCCCATTGGTGTAAATGGGCTCCACCGGCTCCAGCATTACTTCCTGGATCAGTTGATCGTCAAGGAAACCAGTGATTTGGCGTGGCCTCACCAGGAGTTTGAGCTGATGCCACTTTCCATCATACAGAGTCTGAGAGAGACACAGACAAGCATTTTGTAATACCTTTGTTTGACAAGATTATCTCAAATATAAAGATATATTTACTGAGAGTTCATTTATGACACGAAACGTATCTTTGTTCAAACTTTGAGCAATGAGCTGGATGTGAAAACAAGTGTGAACTTTCATTGAGCCTTCCATTTCATTTCTTATGTGTTTCATCTAACCTGGTTTTGTCAGTAAGGCCAAACATGTTACTCCACTAATAGTCTTATTAAGAAGTCCTTCCTTTTTCTAAAAAGCTCAAACAATACAGACGGACAGAGAGAAACAGAGCCGCCATTGTTTCACTGGGACTAAGCCACAAATGACAAATCACAGGCTTCTACACTGTGCCACATCAAATTAAATCAAACACCAACTAAACATAATTACAACCCTGTCCAGCGCTCTGTGCTATAGTCTAGGTGCATGCTGGGATGAAGGGTGGTGGGCGTCTTTTGGAAAAAACAACCTGGCGTGTCCAACAGGATGGATTATTACCTTGTGCTGCCATGGGAAAAAAAAGGCACGGCCTCCAAGAACTACGCATCCACCAACTAGTTTCCAGTCGGGGAATGCAGGAAAGGTTTTCTTTGAGCCGCTTCCTGGCTACCACCACATTTCACCTTCACCGGTTCAGCTGTCAATTGAACTGAACAGGGGATGATGTTTAAATAGCTGCTAATCTGGCTCTCTGCAAGTCATCCCAGTCAGGTCCATTCACAGCAACCAACATGAAGGGAAACCCGAGACTGAAAGAAACATTGTGCACCCCAGTAACACAAGCCGTTCTTTCATAACCCGAGCAAAGCACAGTCCACCTTTTATATTTAACACTACAAACTGATTCATTCAGATCCTTTATGAATCAACTTTGAGGTTGATGCAGCTGCATTAACTGTGTTTCATATACATTGCATTTATAATTACTCATTTATCTGATGCTTTTTATCCAAAAAAAACAAAACATTACACCTGTACAGCAACCAGGTGTTTGGAGTCTTGCTCAGGGACACATTGGTGGATGTGTCACAATGGGAATCAAACCCAGGTCTCTCATACCAAAGACATGTGACTTATCCACTGCTCCATCGCCACACAAGTTTCACAAAAGTTCCAGTTTTTGACGATGTATACCAAAGTTTTGTCGAAAACTGACACTCAACATGTACAATACAGAAGAAATGGCACTCATTTCTCCCAAATCACACAAACTCCCACATTCTGCTTCCTCTGGAATACTATCTGAATCCTATTTGACTATCACTAGTGAACTAAACACATTTGGCATGTTGATTTGAGAGATGCCACATTACATCTCTCGTTCCAGGGCTTACTGTTGTTGAACGTGCATATTTGTCATTAATAATGTTGCTTCCTTGTGTGTCTTCACAGCAATGTGATTCAACGTATTCAGGAAGACTCAAAAATGAAACAAAGTGATAGCAGTTGTTTTGGTCTGAATGAGCAAGCAGCCAATCACATACAGTATCTCACCAAAGTGAGTACACCACTCACATTTTTGTAAATATTTGATCATATCTTTTCATGTGACAAAACTGAAGAAATGACACTTTGTTACAATGTAAAGTAGTGAGTGTATATCTTAAATTAAAAGTGTGCAATACACTACTTCAGAATTCATTATTCAATTTTGCGCATAACAATGCAAGAAAATCATGCAATTAATAGCGATTCAAAATTTTAATCGTTGCCCAGCACTACTTTCTATAAGATGAAGAACAGATGTATTGATAAATTAAAGCTGCAAGCAGCGTTGGGCGGGCCCTCGCACTTGTAGCGCGTCCGGGCGTGAGCAGGCCGAGTTGCACATTCTGGAGCTCTGCCAGTACGGCTGTGAATTTGCTACGCGGTTCCGACGCCACATGAAGGTGCTATATGTCACTTCCTGTGTCCCCTATGTGGAGCTACATAGCACTTGCCGCTATGAATATAAATCGGTATTGGTGTGTAGATGTTTGCGGGGTTGGAGAGTTATCAAGCACGTAAAGTTTGGTGCAGATGTGAGCATGTACACTGAAGTTACAACAACTTCCTATGTCGTGGCGAAGAGTTGATCTTTGACGCCACGCCACGGATACACCCATTGACGAAAACTCACAAATAGCACAACTTTTCATCTTCAATGCCTTTAGAAGGCACAGCACAAATTTGAAGTCGGTCGGACTAAATACCTAGGAGGAGTTCGTTAAAGTACGAAGTGTGTAAATCATCCAAAATTTGACATAAAATTAAAAATGGCCGACTTGTGACAACAGTGTAAATTTGCTGTCCCCTCAAAATAACACATCACACAGCCATTAATGTCTAAAACACTGGCAACAAAAGTGAGTACACCCCTAAGTGAAAATGTCCACATTGGGCCTAATTAGCCATTTTCCCTCACCGGTGTCATGTGACTCGTTAGTGTTACAACTCTCAGATTTCCTCACACTGGTCACTGAAAGTTAAACATGGCTCTCTGAGTATCTGAAAAAAGAATGGTTACTCTACATAAAGATGGCCTAGGCTATAAGGAACTGCAGCACGGTGGCCAAGACCATACAGCAGTTCAACAGGACAGGTTCCACTCAGAACAGACCTCGCCATGGTCGACCAAAGAAGTTGAGTGCACGCGCTCAGCATCATATCCAGAGGTTGTCTTTGGGAAATAGACGTATGGTTGCTGCCAGCATTGCTGCAGAGGCTGAAGAGCTGGGGGGTCAGCCTGTCAGTGCTCAGACCATACGCTGCACACTGCATCAAATTGATCTGCATGGCTGTCATCCCAGAAGGAAGCTTCTTCTAAAGTTGATGCACAAGAAAGCCCGCAAACAGTTTGTTGAAGACAAGCAGACTGTGGTCTGAATCAGACCTGTGGTCTGATGAGACCAAGATAAACTTATTTGGTTCAGACGGTGTCAAGCGTGTGTGGTGGCAACCAGGTGAGGAGTACAAAGACAAGTGTGTCTTGCCTTCAGTCAAGCATGGTGGTGGAAGTGTCATAGTCTGGGGCTGCATGAGTTCTACCGGCACTGGGGAGCTACAGTTCACTGAGGGAACCATGAATGCCAACATGTACTGTGACATACTGAAGCAGAACATAATCCCCTCCCTGCGGAGACTGGGCCACAGGGCAGTATTTCCAACATGATAACGACCCCAAACACACATCCAAGACAACCACTGCCTTGCTAAAGTAGCTGAGGGTAAAGGTGATGGACTGGCCAAGCATGTCTCCAGACCTAAACCCTACTGAGCATCTGCAGGGCATCCTCAAACAGAAGGTGGAGGAGCGCAAAGTCTCTAACGTCCACCAGCTCTATAACGTCGTCATGGAGTAGTGGAAGAGAACTCCAGTAGCAACCTGTGAAGCTCTGGTGAACTGCATGCCCAAGAGGGTTAAGGTAGTGCTGAAAAATAATGCTGGCCACACAAAATATTGACACTTTGAGCCCAATTTGGACATTTTCATTTAGGGGTGTTGCCAGCGGTTTAGACATTAATGGCTGTGTGATGTGTTATTTTGAGCGGACAGCAAATTTACTCTGTTATACAAGCTGTACACTCACTACTTAACATTGTAGCAAAGTGTCATTTCTTCAGTGTGGTCACATGAAAAGATATAATCAAATACTTTCACTCACTTTTGTGAGATACTGTATGTGATTGGCTGCTCGCTCATTCAGACCAAAACAATTGCTTTGTTTCATTTTTGAGTCTTCCTGAATACGTTGAATCACAGTGCTGTAAAGACACACAAGGAACCAACGTTAATGACAAATATGCATATTGCAACAGTAAGCCCTGGAATGAGAGATGTAACATAGCACCTCTCAAATCAACATGCCAAATGTAAATGTAAGGCAGACACATATAAGCGTAGACTTAAGACATTACTCTTCATAAAGCTTATAGTTAGAGCTGGCTCAGGTGAGTCCTGAACCATCCCTTAGTTATGGTGCTATAGGCCTAGACTGCCAGGGGGACTTACTCTACCCACGATACTCTGAGCTTCTCTCTCCGTCACCATCTGTATGCAACCTTTCTCCTCCCACTCCTCTCTCCTTCTATCGCTTTCTGCAGGTGTTTCTGGCTCTGGAGCTGTGGAGTCTGGATCTGTGGTTGCGGGCTTCCTGCTGCCCCCAAGTTCCTGCTCAACACCTGCTGCAAAATTATTATTACTAGTCCTATAATTGTTATTATTATAATTAATGTTACTATTACTATTGTTATTCGTACTATTATTCATTTTCTCATGGTATCTGTACCACTACCACTTTACTATTGTTTTACATCTTTATGTGGAACTTGCATCGGACTGCTGTGTTCTCTCTCTTCTCTGCCTCTGCATTCTTAATCCAAATCATTCTGTTTAGTTCTGTTTTAATACAGCTTGTTGGTGATGATCAACATAAAGATGGTTTGATTTCAGCCTTTTCTTAACCTGTCACACTTTTTAAAGTAAGGTAAATCATTTGTAATAGTGTGAGTCACTCAAGAATCTGTGCAGCAAACCAGCAGAGCTGAAGCTAAAGTGAGGTGAGAAACATGTCTCATACTGATCTGGAACAGACATTAAACTCAATCCTAAGACCAACCTGAAAGCCTGTTTTAAAGATGACTCTGTGTTCATTTTCTGTTGTACTGGTGGTGGTGAAGATGACACTTCTGTCCTTTCCGCTGAGTGTCACTGCAGCCTGGATCTCCTTATCCTTAGACAGCACCCTCCAAATATCAAAGGTCAGCTTGCTAGGAGACCCCTTTAGACGCAGGGTGACTACGAACACATAGGATGGAGGGAGGCCTTCTGGGAAAATCTCTCTAGAATGAGGATGAAGTAAAATAAACAATATAATTAAATATAAACAATAGTTGATCAAGTGAAAGGCATTTTGAGAACCTCACTGCACTCTTTAGACAGGACTCTACCGTGTATTCTCAGTAATGTCTGTGGACGCAGTCAAAGCATAGGCGGTCTCGGAGATCAGAGAGCCAGGGATCTTCTTGGCCTTCCTCTGAATGTTCATGCCCACCATCAGCTCAAAGCCTTTCTCATCACGAGAGGCCACTGGGATTCGTGTCGGGCACACAGACTCTAGAAAGAAAGGGGTCATTTATTTGGCTAAGTTAAGCTAACATCTAAATAGATAAGCAAAAGTTTTTTATTTTTGGTCAACTGTGTTATTTGATGGTGCATTGATTTGCATCTTTGTGGACAACACAAGGCAGTTTAATTAGGGGTCCAAGCCCGAGTGGGGCTGGGAACCCGCGAATGCAAGGCATCGCGGTTCCCAGTACCAGCAGAGCTGGGAACCCCATTGTAATCGTTTTTTTAAATTATTTTTTTCTTCCGCCGCTAATTCCAATACTGCAGCCTAGATGGTAACTGCTAGGGACGCGAAACTCATGGGGTACGTACAAACCCCTGCAAGTAACTCAGGCACAAAAATTCGTGGCGCTATATGGAAGGTCAACACGTTTGGTGTTGGAACTCCCGCATATGAGGGCGGATATCAATAACCTTATATCCACTCGTTCGGGGGATCGAGCTGAATCTCCTGGCGTTTGGGGGATTGAGGTGAATCTCGTGGTATAGGCCACGCCCATTTCCGCCTAGACTTTTTTTTCACTACATCGCAAAAACTGAAAAACCTATTTTAATTAACTTCTCTGAAGCCGCAAGTCCGATAGACACCAAACTTGGCACGGATAATCTCTGGACCAAGCTGATGAAATTTTGTAGAGGACATTTTTATCCGACTAAAAATGTCGCAATTATAGGATAACAAATCTTTGCAAAAAACGCTAAAAACAGGAAATGATATCTTCACTTTGGAATGGCCTATCGACACCAATTTTGGAACATTAATGTGGGACGCCCCCCTGAGGGCCTGTGCAAAATTTAGTGCAACCCGCCCCTAGGTGGTGCTATTTCATTTGAAAAAATTGTTCCTGTGTAACCACAAGTCACATTGACATGAATCCAGAGCCAAATTGTTCAGCATTGTCCCCTTACTACAGGCACCAAAGTTCACCCAAATATGCCCATAGGTTGTGCTGTTATTGCAGATTAAAGACGTCAAAAAAAAAATCCCATTGATTTACATGCATTTTATATCTCCATAACCACAAGTCTGATTCATACCAAATTTGGGGCAATTGTTCCCCATGGGGCCCTGATGAAACCTGAAAAAAATTTGGTGCAAAAGGTGGCGCTATTACAGGCCAACTAATTTTAGTGCAAACGCTAAAAACAATGGCCAATCTACACCAAACTCGGGGACCTTATCTGGCACACCCTCCCGAGGGGCTTTGTGAAATTTTGCGTCAATCCGCCTCTAGGTGGCGATATTAATTGGAAATCAAATAACACTCCCATAGACATACACTCATTTCACAACTTTATAACTCTGCTCATTTATTCTCCACGGGTCCCCCGAGCCGCAGCGAGTAATGTTAACAGTGAGCTGTAATGCACACATACAGGGCCATGGGACAGGCACAACGAAATACATGCACTCTGTTAGTGATAACACCTGCCCTTTTTCTGCTATCACATATCAAAATGTCTGCCTATAAGCATTACTTCTCTCTGCTCTTCCTTCATTCTGTCTTACCGTATTCAGTGAGAAATGACCTACCGTTACAAGCTACAAGCAACATTTAAAGGAGACCTATTATACTGCATTTCCAGTCCTATATTGTAGTTCTGTGACTCCTGTATGGCAGCTTTGCATGATTCAAAGTTCAAAAAAATAACTTTCTGGCTTATACTGGCTCTTCATGTAGGGTTTCCTTTCAGCCTCTGTCTGAAACAAGCTGTAGATGCTTCTGTCTCTTCAAGGCCACCCCTCTCAAATCCCACTGTCTTCTGATTGGCCTAGACCTTGTTGTCGCTGAGTGGTACAGGCAGACTGAGAGTTGCTGTGCGGAGCAAATGACCATACAGTGAGGAAAATAAGTATTTGAATCCTGCTATTTTGCAAGTTCTCCCACTTAGAAATCATGGAGGGGTCTGAAATTGTCATCGTAGGTGCATGTCCACTGTGAGAGACATAATCTAAAAACAAAAATCCAGAAATCACAATGTATGATTTTTTAACTATTTATTTGTATGATACAGCTGCAAATAAGTTTTTGAACACCTGAGAAAATCAATGTTAATATTTGGTACAGTAGCCTTTGTTTGCAATTACAGAGGTCAAACGTTTCCTGTAGTTTTTCACCAGGTTTGCACACACTGCAGGAGGGATTTTGGCCCACTCCTCCACACAGATCTTCTCTAGATCAGTCAGGTTTCTGGGCTGTCGCTGAGTTTGAGCTCCCTCCAAAGATTCTCTATTGGGTTTAGGTCTGGAGACTGGCTAGGCCACGCCAGAACCTTGATATGCTTCTTACAGAGCCACTCCTTGGTTATCCTGGCTGTGTGCTTCGGGTCATTGTCATGTTGGAAGACTCAGCCTCGACCCATCTTCAATGCTCTAACTGAGGGAAGGAGGTTGTTCCCCAAAATCTCGCAATACATGGCCCCGGTCATCCTCTCCTTAATACAGTGCAGTCGCCCTGTCCCATGTGCAGAAAAACACCCCCAAAGCATAATGCTACCACCCCCATGCTTCACAGTAGGGATGGTGTTCTTGGGATGGTACTCATCATTCTTCTTCCTCCAAACACAGTTAGTGGAATTATGACCAAAAAGTTCTATTTTGGTCTCATCTGACCACATGACTTTCTCCCATGACTCCTCTGGATCATCCAAATGGTCATTGGCAAACTTAAGACGGGCCTTGACATGTGCTGGTTTAAGCAGGGGAACCTTCCGTGCCATGCATGATTTCAAACCATGACGTCTTAGTGTATTTCCAACAGTAACCTTGGAAACGGTGGTCCCAGCTCTTTTCAGGTCATTGACCTCCCGTGTACTTCTGGGCTGATTTCTCACCTTTCTTAGGATCATTGAGACCCCACGAGGTGAGATCTTGCATGGAACCCCAGTCCGAGGGAGACTGACAGTCATGTTTAGCTTCTTCCATTTTCTAATGATTGCTCCAACAGTGGACCTTTTTTCACCAAGCTGCATGGCAATTTCCCCATAGCCCTTTCCAGCCTTGTGGAGGTGTACAATTTTGTCTCTAGTGTCTTTGGACAGCTCTTTGGTCTTGGCCATGTTAGTAGTTGGATTCTTACTGATTGTATGGGATGGACAGTTGTCTTTATGCAGCTAACGACCTCAAACAGGTGCATCTAATTTAGGATAATAAATGGAGTGGAGGTGGACATTTTGAAGGCAGACTAACAGGTCTTTGAGAGTCAGAATTCTAGCTGATAGACAGGTGTTCAAATACTTATTTGCAGCTGTATCATACAAATAAATAGTTAAAAAATCATACATTGTGATTTTTTTTAGATTATGTCTCTCACAGTGGACATGCATACGATGACAGTGGACATGCATACGATGACAATTTCAGACCCCTCCATGATTTCTAAGTGGGAGAACTTGCAAAATAGCAGGGTGTTCAAATACTTATTTTCCTCACTGTATATGGAACACCGTCTCCATCTAGCTCCATGTGTCGTAGAACGGAACCATTGGTAGAAAAAGCAGTTCAAAACAGAGTGTTCAGAACACGAGGAAATCTGAGGTTTTGGCTCACAGGGATTTCTTTTAAATACTTTTACATCATTATTTGAAGCTTTGGCCATGTTTAACATGAACATCCAACATTGTACCATTGTAGATAAGTCATAAAATATGGAAAAGTATAATAGGTCTCCTTAAAGACAATTTATTGACATATAATTGGTTAACTTTTTGAATGTAAATCCAATGTTCCATCATCTTTTAGCTCTGTTTTGGCCTCCACCAACTTCTGAGAAAAATAGCTTTCTTTCTTGCTTTAACATTAGATGTTAGCTGGTATGTTGACTTTTTTGAACAACTACAGTGGCGTTAGTTGCTAACTGCTGACCGTCTATTTGGTGCAAGGCAGTTAGCATCAAGGGTTTATCTGATTTTTTTAGACCAAAAAATGTTTCTAAAAGAGGCTAGCGAAACACAGAGCAAGAGGCCTTTTTCACATTACCATCTATAGTATATTGTAAATATGGAAGCTAATAGGCTTCCGCCAATTCCAGTGGCTTAGGTTTCATCAGCAAAATCACACCAGACAACAATGCCACCAACTTCATCTCAGTCAATCAAAACATAAGAAAAGTAACAGGATTGTGAAGCGTGAGAAGCTATTTCAGGCATACAAGCCTGTGTACATAAAAACTTTGGGGTAGAAGTTAATTACGTCTCCCAAGGTGCATATCAGCCAGAAACATCCAATAACATATATTATATTATAAAACTTAATTTCCAGCTCTAGTTGACATTGTCACGGTTTTGTCTGTCTGCTCTTTGTTCCTGTGTTTTTGATCTGTGTCTGTTTTTCTGTTTCATTTTGAAATTTTGTGCTTTGTGTCTTGTTTTAGTTTGTAGTTGACAGCTCACAACAAACTCTGACACACTTTAAATTTCTGGGTCAAGTTAGGCTGAACCCAGCACCTACGGCTCTGCCTTTTGTTCCCAACTGCAACAACAAAGTGTTTTGAACTGTCCACCCTGGAGACTGGCTTCTTCTCAATGACAACAGCAGCCGAGGGACTCATGGCTGTTCTAGCGTTTAGAGTCATCCGCCATGCCAAACTGACAGCCAGAACATAGTTTCTCAGAAATTAAGCTAAATGGTGGCCATAACATAAACCTATATGATCTTATTATCTGGGAGAGTCCTGTGTTTCCATGTAAAGTAACTCTGAAGTTATTATTTTAGTGAGAATACAGAATGGGAAAAAATGCTTCTACTACTGGCCCCTCCCACTTCGCAGCTGTATGCCATAGCCAGTGGGACTGAGAATAATCAAGCCGAGAAGGAATACAAACTAGATATCCTGACCTTCACAGAGCTTTTGCTCCATGGAGTCTCGGATACGGTCAATGGTGGTGTAATCTTCAGCATACAGGACGTAGGTGGTTGATGGTTTATTGGCGATGGAGACCAGCTCCGAGGTGGTGATCTCACTGCCAACTCCAACGGCAAATACTGTAATGCCCTGACCTCGTGCCTCCATACTGGCATCCACCTAAAAAAGCACATGCTGTTTGTGATGAGTCAGTCTCTCGTGGTTAAGAGACTTTCCATTAAGGCCTTTGACAGAGGGGTTATACAGAACAGAATCACAAAAATACAATATAATTACAGCCGACAGCTGTCATATAAAATGTGGACACCCCATGTCAGATAGTGTTTCCTTGGGTTAGGGTTATGGTATGGTTGGGGGAGTCAGTCTCTTTCTCAAAGTGACATTTACCACGTCATCCTGTGATTTGCCATCGGTAACCACCACAGCAATGCGGTTCTTGACCTGCCTGGATCTTTCGGAGGAGGAGAAGACGTGGTCCACGGCAAACTTGATGGCCCTGCCAGTCTGCAAAACAGCCAGAAAACAGTGATGAAAAACGCCATGATGCTGTAGGAATCGCGTGTGGACTGGTTTGTTCACCAGAAATTGCAAATTAGATGATATGAACATATAAGAACAACTTTTTTTAATATCACCATGGGGTTCAGCAGATAGACTGTTTACGATAGAATTCTAAGGGATGAAATGTATTTCTAGATCATGTGATGTAAAGCAAAGCAATCAAACACAGGTGTCTACATGTTTATTGACCATTTGTGTGCTTGTGGTGTTGCTGTGTGGTCATGCTGCAACAGATTCACCTGTGGTGAGTGAATGTTGGCACCTTTGGACCCGCCTAAGAGTAGTCTGCTTCAACCATAAACAGTCTCAGTCTGCTCCACTTTATTAGTTTCTTGTTTTTGGATGGAGTACCGGAAGTAGTGAAGATTTTAAATAATAAACTTTATATGACATTTTAGGAGTTTTATTCTTCCCCTACTACAAGCAGGTTCCCCACGATCAATCAGTGCGTTAGTCCAGCAACCAGTATGGAGGACTGATCCTGACAAATTCAGAAATAAATACAGAAGTAAATAAATGCTCAATAAATAAAAAAGCATCCGATTAAATGCACAAAAAATAAAGTAGATAAATAAATGTAGGTATTAATTAAATTATACAATGACACATAAATGTATATATCTCTTTTAATTAGCTTCTTTACTTATTCACCTTTGTAATAATTAACTTATTTATTTATTGTCCGCACTTTATTTATTAATTACTTCTTTTTTAAATGTATTTATTTAATATTTTTGTCTGTTTCTTCCTTTGCATTTTCTACCCTATTCATTTCACCAATGGTATTTATTTCTGCTTGTCCTTTTTACATTTCTCTATGCATTTCTGCCTCATTATGCAAATGAGGAGGGGCTGTGTCTTAAGGGGTGAACTTCTCCCCTATTGGTAGACCAGTCAGACGGGAGCGCTGTAGGCCTACTCTACCTGCACACATCAACAAGCTTGCTCCTCACACAGTCAGATGGCTTCCTTCAGTGCGCTGAGGAGGTGTTTGGCAACTCTAGTTGAAGACAATACTACCAGCTATGTCTTCCTTCTTTTTCATGTGGACGCTCTGACCTACAGAGTTTTCATTTAGTGACTTACACGGACACAGAACTGCGGGAAGGTGAGCTGTTGTTTCTGAGAAACACATGGTCAGTTAGCCGCAGCTAAATCTGGAGTGCACTCCTATTCGAGTATTTACAGTAAATGCTCCCACACGGAGCAGCTCCTTGCTCTGCTGTTATCAGCTGCTGTTTCAACAAAAATACTATTCAGGGTGAAAATTTAACCGTGGTGTTGTGTCGGGAGATGCAGTGACTTAACCAGCGGTGAGTAAGAAATATTATGAATAATTGACATTTAAGATTAGCTGTGTTTGATCAACCTTCATACACATATTTGACATTACTGTACAACTTGACAACTGCCTAAAAGAAAAGCATTTTTGGGATTAAATGGGCTTTATTAGCTGTTGCAATGCAGGAAGAACTAAGAACAGACCCATTTCTCAACTTATTATTCTAAATCATGCAATGAAGAAGAAGAAATGCAAAATCTGTCCACAAATACTGTACAGCATGTAGTCTAATGAACAAGACTTGTGTTATAGCTGACTTGGGCAGTGAAATGTTTAAATTTTTAATTCATGTGTTCCTAGTTGTCCACAACTCAAATCAGAATTTAAGGAGATATGTTTTATACCACGTCAAGAAGACTTCCTATCAGAAAGGTAGGAAGGTATTTCAATGTACTACTGCAGTACTTCAATCTAAGTAAAGTAATTTCCCTGACATTTTTGTGTTATTTTACTGTTAATAGCTACATGTAACAGGTTTTATACTTCCTGTGAATATAATCCAATTAATCTTATTTTCATACTGTATATCCGTTGTGTAATTTGATAAATTGTTGTATGTGGTGCTCGCATTGAGACTTCATTGCCTCTATTCAGATAAGACTCTCAGACGGCAACACTTGTCTTTTTAAAGAGGGAAACAGACAGAAAAAAGTCTAACTCTGCCTGTCAGCTCGCTCTGCCACGTTAAAACTGAATTTACCATATAGAGTTACAGATTTAGCTGTAGCTAGCTGACCGTGTGCTTCTCCCTATACCACAGTTCTGTGTCAGGGCGTCCACACCAAAAAGGAAGGAAGACATGGCTGGTAGAATTGTCCTCAGATAGAGTTGCTAATCACTTCAGTTCACTAAAGGAAGCCATCTCTTGTGACTGTGTGGGGAGCAAGGCTTGTTGATGTGTGAGTTTAGAGTTGACCTCTGAGTTGTCTGACTGATCCACCAATAGGGGAGAAGTTCACCCCTTCAGACACAGCCCCTCCTGATTTGCATAATGAGGCAGAAATGCATATAGAAATGTAAAAAGAGGAGGCAGAAATATATAACCATTGTGGAAATAAATAGGGTAGAAAAGGAAGAATAAATGAGACAAAAAACATTAAAACACACATATAAATAAATAAATTTAAAAAAGAAGTAATTAATAAATAAAGTTGAAGATTATAACGGACAGTAAATAAATCAGGTAATTATTACAAAGGTGACTAAATAAAGAAGCTAATTAAAAGAGATATATACATTTATGTCTCCTTGTATAATTTAATTACTGCCTACATTTATTTATCTACTTTATATTTTGTGCATTTAATCGGATGCTTATTTATAAATTGAGCATTTATTTATTTCTGTATTTATTTCTGATTTTGTCAGGATCATTCCTCCATAAACCGGGTCATGTGTGGAACACTTAATCAATAAAATTGTTTCCTTATATAACAGTGATATGAATACATTGTGTAAAATATAAATGAATCAACATTTGCTTAAGTAAGTGAGGACATTGTTAAAACTCTCTGAAATGTTACTTGACTAGTCATGGACGGTACAGTGATGCAGTGGATAACACTCTTGCCTCACAGCAAGAAAGTCTGGGGTTTGAACCTTGGTGGTCCCAGGTCTTTCTGTGTGGAGTTTGCATGTTCTCCCCGTGACTCACAGCAGAGAGGGGATATGGAGAAAAGTGTGGACGTGATATAAAAATCATCTCTGATCATGAAGCCTGTGTTACTCTGCTGCTCTGTGTTTCACTATGATGGATTGTGGGTCACATCTTTCCCCTTCACTGGTTTCTTTATTTTGTGTTTTATTGATGTATGAGTGTTATCTTACGATTTACTTTCATGCCTTTCAAGCCTTTTGGGAAGTCGTGCCACATAAAGTCCCCAAGTTTGACTGTTAAACTGACAAAGGGACACGAGCCAGCCATTGGCATCTCCCTGAACAGCCTATCAAAACTGGCCCCCCACACACGTTTCCGTGGCAACTGACCTTATTCTTTGTTTTATTACCACATCAAAGGGATACTCCTTGTCTCACCTAAGTGTGACATTGTCCAGGACAGCTGAACTTTCAATGTAAAAGGACTGCAGTCTCCAAAAGACTCAAAGCATTTAATTAAATTTAATTAAATCTTTAGTTCCCTGATTACGTTTGCCTCTATTTGAGTAGTTATGTTAACTGTTGTTGCTATCTGTTGTTGATATTAGTGCTGAAAAGAAGTTACTTGTGCAGTGTTTTTATTTTCAGCAAGACACTCCTTCATCTAATGTAATCCAAGCCTTCCTCATGTAACCTGAGCTCCCCCAAGTGGGCGAAATAAGTATTACATGCCCTCGTCGGAAATGCCGTTAAATGTATAAATATCCTGACCAATAATGTGACAATTGTTTCCTGTTACCAAATGCTTAGAACAGTACAACCGTTCAACCATTGAGGTTCGATTGTGGAAAATGTTTGATATAATACGTGCAAATAGATTTCTTTTCTTTAGACATTAAGTTTAGAAAGGCAGTCCCTTGGGAAACCTGAGACGCCCCCTGGGGAACCACGCCCCAGGCAACAAAAGAGCGACACGCGACCTGCTCTCCCTCTCTTTACTTCGCTGTTGGCTCTCTTCCACTCTGTTCTGCTCTCTGGACGCTTCGGCACGCGCCGGCGTGCCGCGCCAGGCAACGCCCTCAGTCGACCAGCGAAACAAACAGGCCTTTGTTCGCTTGAAGCTACACACGTGAAGTGCCGAGACATCGATCTGCCTTCAGTTTGTTTTATTTTCTTTATTTCTTTTGTTTGTTAAAGTTATCAGTTCGTTAAGTTACACTGGACTAATTCAGGAACGACCAAGTTCCATTTTAAGCCTTTTTCGTCGAGCCAACTTCACCGAGGTCAGACCAAGCCACGTGGTCTCGCCAGCTACAACGAAGGAAACCTGCAAACAGCCGAATTGCCAGACGGAGGAGTCGTTTTCAATCAGACACGGAGAACCCTGGAGAATCCCTAGCAAAAAGCCAGGATCGGGCAGCTAGCGTGGGACCCGTGCAACAGGCCAAAAGCAGACTGTCGACAAGCAGTAAGACTTAACACACGTTCTGTGATCAGATGTCCATTTTAACTCCTAAAATCATAGCATTAGTTTACTTTCAGTAGCTCTTCTATGCCGTATGAGTCAAATGTTTCCCACAATCGAACCTCCAGGCTCATTGTTCAGCAAATGTTTATGTTCCCTGTATCCAACCGTCTTTTTATCACCTTAGTTAGAGAATAAATTCACTGTAATATAATCAAGAGCTGTGTGTGTTGCCTATTTATAGTTCCTGCCAAGAGAATTGACCCTTTAGATATGAGACTGACTGACTGATTTAAGATAATTGAGCGATTATTAACTAACTGATCACTAGTAATAATTGTATAATTATTCAAAACTACCTAGAGGTCCGGAGACTCTAGGATTATAACAACTCCGGTGGTGCCCTTAACGAGGAAATTCTGATTTTATGAATTTTAATTCATAATTGGGTATCAATTCTCATAAATTTATTAAAATGCATAAATAATAAATGTAGGTCTACTACATAATGGTGCCCCGTGTGAGGCCTTGTGACATACT